CTGCTGCTGCCCTTCCCCCAGGTTGGGGGCCGGGGAGGCGGGGTTGGACTCGGAGGAGCTGGAGCTGGAATCCGAGTCGGACGAGGAGGAAGAGGAGGACGACGAAGAGGAGGAAGAGGAAGAGGAGGACGACGAGGAGGACGAGGAGCTGCGCTTGGCCTTGGCGGGCGTCACCTCGGCGGGCGTCACCTCGGGGGGCACAGAGCCATCGCTGGTGGCGGCCGATGGGGCGACGTCGGCTGCGGGCGACGCTTCATTGAGCAGCACGGCTTTGGTGACGGCGGGGCCGGGTGGCGAGTGGCCGCCATCCACCGCTGGGGGCGTTTGGGTGACGGCGGGCGGCGGTTCGGTGAGAGAAGCGGATGCAGGAGGCGCCGCGGTGACGGCGGTCGGCGGCGTGGGGACGCTGGGAGCGGCGGCTTTGGGGGCCTCCATCACAAGCGGTGGTGACGCCTGCGGAGCGGCGGCTCTGGGCGACACGGGGGTGGCGTTGGGGGCAGGCGAGGGCGACGGCGGGGTGACGCCGAGGGTGGAAAGCGGTGACGGCTGCGTGGGGCTACCAGCACCCATGGGTGACGGCTGGGTGACGCTACCAGCACCCGTAGGTGACGGCTGGGCGGCAGCAGACGCAGCTGGGATCTGGGTGACGCTGCTGCTGGGGATGGGTGACGTCAGGGCGGTGCTGCCAGCACCCATGGGTGACGTCTGGGCGGCGCTACCAGCACACGCAGCCGACGCCTGTGTGCCACCAGCACCCATGGGTGAGGCCTGTGTGCCACCAGCACCCATGGATGAGGCCTGCGTGCCACCAGCACCCATGGGTGAGGCCTGCGTGCCACCAGCACCCATGGGTGAGGCCTGCGTGCCACCAGCACCCATGGGTGAGGCCTGCGTTCCAGCCCCGCCAGCCGCCAGCTGTGTGACCCCACTGACGGGTGATGGAAGGGCACCGCCAGCTGTGGCCGCCTCCATTTTGGCTGCCAGTGCCGCCGTGTTGGTTGCCACGTTGGTCGCCATGTTGGATGCCGTGGTGGCCGCCATATTGGATGCTGCACTGGATGCCGTGGTGGCCGCCATATTGGATGCTGCACTGGATGCC